TTTTGTGTGTGTGTGTGTGTGTGTGTGTGTGTGTGTGTGTGTGAGATATGTATGTCCTTTAGGGTGTCTGTGTTCAGTTTTGAGAACTTTCGACATATTTGGACCAGTAACGAAAAAGTTGGCAAGAACACCAAATTCGGGAATTTTTTTCGCGAACTCCGAATACATGCTGAGCCTGCACTCGGGCCCCATTTTGAGGGCCCGACAGTTGTTGGGGGCCCCCAGGCCGCGCACACTTCAGGCGCATGCCCTGAAGGGAGGCTCACGGCCGGCCTAAGGGCCGCAGGTTTTGATTTGAGACAGCATTCATTTATTTGTTTATTTAGTTATTTATTTGCTGTCCTATTGTTGTCTGTTCAGGCATTGTTTCGGACATGCAGTACGTCGGAACAGACCTTGTCTGTTCGGACGAAGGCCACACTTTGGGCCTGGTATGGATGCAAGCAGGACCTTTGCGGCCAGGTCCGCGTTTGTCCGATAGCCGACTCTCCCTGCTGCATCAGCAGGGAGGGCGTGGACGTCCGATAGGGACCCAGGCCGGTGACGTTTGAGACCAGGACCAGAGGCACACGCAGGCACACCAGCGAGGCCCAGCCCTACAAGTAACTGGGCAAGACCAGGGAAGACACACAGTTCGAGTAGCTCACTTCTTGGGCGCCACGCTGCTGGAGCAGCGCGACAAAGTGGTGAGCTGTAGAGGTAGAGGTGTAGGTAGGAGGTGAGGCGAAGGGGCATACCTGCAGCGGCGGTACTTACCTGGCGCCATAGCCACGCTCCACGCCAGCGCCCTGCACAGGGACCACGACAATAGTTAGCACATGGCAGCAGTTACCTGCAGGTGAGACAGCGAGGAGGACGGCTTCTTCGTCGTCGTCTTTTCCTCCATATCTTCTCCCTCCTTCCTCCTCCTCCTCCTTGTTCTTCTTCTTGTTGTTCTTCTTCGTCTTCCATCAGAGAGAGAGAGACAGGTTACAGGCAGAGGTTGCATCGGGCATGACGCCCAGGATCTGATTCGACATTTTGTGGCAGACATTGATTGGAAGTTTGGCAGGGAGACTATTTTTGGACTTCGCTATCGCGATCATGGTCTTCTCCCTTACCTCCATCTTCGTCTCGCCTCTCCCCCATCTCTTCATCCGTGGTATCTCCCCCATGTGCATGTGCAAGGAGGGACCTTTCTTCCATGTATGTGGTCCCTCCTCCCTCTCTCACATGTGTGGTGTATGATGGGATGTCGCGTCAGTATCTGACAGGTCAGGTCATATCTCTGAGTCTTCCCCTGGGCGACATTGTCCTATTTTTATGTGTATCTGGATGTACATTGCTTGTTGATGCTTTGCTGACGCTGCATTGTCCACTCGAGTCCTTTTCATCACTTTGCAGATCCTTGGCTCCGTATACACTGCTCAACTCAGCATGTATCAGTTTTATACTACTTATAGTGCTTTTGAAGTTTTTTTTTTTTTTTTTTTTTTTAATATACAAAAGAAATTTTTTTATCTTGCCTGTTTGTTTTTCTGATGATTGTATTGAGCCTGCATTGTTTGTTTGCGAAATTTTCAACGACATTGTATGTGGTGATGCGGTGAAAAACCCTGAATTTTGGGCCTTCCATTAACCATCTCTCCTCCACCCCACTGAAATTGTCGTAATAAGTTTAAAGAATGGATGGATACTTCTTACTGGCAAACGTCTCTCTCTCTCTCTCGCTCTCTCTCGCTCTGTGTGTGTGTGTGTGTGTGTGTGTGTGCGCGCGCTCGCCAGAAACTCTTTTTTCTTAGTGGCGGTGGAAAAGACCCCGTGTGCGCCCTGCAATTTCTTCTTTTTCAGCGGTGGCAGTTAAAACTCCAAGTTCAAAAAAAAAGTGAAGTGTTCGAGCTGTGATATACCTCCAAGGACCTCCATGTATTAGCAGGTGAAGCTGGTAGCTGTGGTTTTTATGGTTTCTCTGTGAGCTATCTGGTCTGCTGATAGCAAGAGCTGGTGGCAGGTGAAGCTCATAGCAAGCTGTGGTTGTATGTGACAGATCCTTGTAGCATGTCATTCATCAAATTGGCGAACATGCCTGAAGAACAGATTATTGGACCCATACGTGCATCTCGTGGAGCGATTTGACCTTCACCTACAAATAGCAAGTTGTGCATTACAAAGCGACCCAACATTAACTCGTCTCAAGGTGAGGGACTCAGCTGCTGATGGCCAAGCTGGCTCATCGATTTTCTCACCAAAACCCTCATCTTCATCTAGTTTTTAACATTGTTCTATTATTGCATGTGCTTTCTCTTCAGAGCTACTCTTTTGTGCTTTAATTTCTAGATAGTAAGTAATAGTAAATAAATTCAATTAGAGGGCAATCCGAGCTACTCTTTTTTTGTGCTTTAATTTCTAGATAGCAAGTAATAGTAATTAAAATTATTAAATTCAATTAGAGGGCAATCCGCAGGTAACCAACATATGTCTGTGTAGGATCCTCAGAGACTTTACGTGGAGCTACTACTAATTAATAATATAAAAGAAAGACCAATGACTTATGAGTATACGTACGATAGATACCTTTGTTTGTATGTAGTGTCGTATTATTATAGTGAACCCGGGCAAGAGCATGGTTTGAACTCTTGCTCTGTAAGTGGATCTCGTCTCGTTCATGACATTGATTGTTGTGCAATGCATGAGTAGCCATCAGAGACCCCCAATCACTGCACTCTGAGCTTTTAAATACTTCATGATGTTAAGAAATGATTTGCTTGTGTTGCAGGATTCTCACGACTCCTTTATTTTGTTGTGGCTTAGCAGACAACTCTGGAATTGTCTTTATTAGTGGGATTCAAGACAAAGGGTTGCTGGATTGTCCATGATCTACTGAGGTATCCAACCATTTGACAGGGATCAGTAAATGCCCAGAGCGTACTAAGTTACTAACCCAGTTCCCTCTGTTTGCTGCCGCCTGCACCTCCCCCCCCTTCTCCTTCACCTCTTCTCCTCCTTCTGCACTTGTCTTCCTCCTCCTACTCTTATTCCGGGTTCTTACAAATGCCAGATCAAGATGCATCCTCTCGTAGATTATCATTTGTGGCAGCTTTCAGGCACACCCTCTTTGGAGAACACAAGTAGGACAACTCACATCTCCTGGGAACATGAGCTTAGAGCACATTGTGGGCAGTCCCCTACCCGTGCGCCTGCACCCTGCAGCTTGATGGCTGCAAAACAAACCAATTGCAGGTATGACGGGTCTCGATCTGGTGACTGGTTGGCCCACAGCTGTCGGACTGTTGGTGTTGGCTGGGGCAGTGGACATCACCGTTCTTCAAGCTAATCGGTGCTAGTATCAGGCTAGCCGTTACTATTCCCTGCTTTGCAGGATTGGGGTAGGGAGAGAGCAGGGTTGGTAGTGCCCTAGCTAGTAGACACAAGTAGGACAACTCACATCCCCTGGGAACATGAACTTAGAGCACATTGTGGGCTGCCCCCTACCCGTGCACCTGCACCCCGCAGCTTGATGGCCGCAAAACTAACCGAATGCAGGTATGACGGGTCTCGATCTGCTGACTGGTTGGCCCACAGCTGTCGGACTGTCGGTGTTGGCTGGGGCAGTGGACATCACCATTCTTCAAGCTAATTCGTGCTAGTATCAGGCTAGCCCTTAAAATTGCCTGCTGTCTAGGATTGGGGTAGGGAGAGAGCAGGGTTGGTAGTGCCCCTACTGTCTTCATCCAAATAGAGTGCACAGTCATTATGGCTGTATCTAGATGGAAGTTGACTCAGATAAAGCTATACTGATTTTTGGGGGGAAGATGGTACCTGATGCATGCCTCTCAGAAGATAGGCAAAGCGCAGAACCAAGGAATCATCCAACATGAAGAAAGAACTACAAGATATAACAATTCGATCAATTTGAAGCAATGTAGAGCAGCTGAAGACTGAAAATAGCAACCTGACTCATCAGACTCGTGCGCCTGCACACGCATACATCATCACATACATGACGATGTGCAAGAAGGGGACACGCATAGGTGGAAGATCCCTCGAATAATAATAGTCCCTCCCAGAAAATCCCCACAATCATCACAGTCCAAATGGCGAGTCAAAGTCCTGGGGCAATACCTACAGAAATAGTAGCCACTCTTTGACCTTTCTCTCTCTCGTGCTTCTCCATAGAAGAACGGAGATAGCGGATATGGAGGGGAGAGCGAGGAGTCTGAGAAGAGGAAGAAGAATCTCTCTCTCTCTCTCTCTCTCTCTCTCTCTCTCTCTCTCTCTCTCTCTCTCTCTCTCTCT